CCTCCTCCTCTCCCCTTATATAACCCCCCGCCCCCCAACTCTCTCAAAGCAAACCCAGACTCATGAGAGTTGAGCAAATCGCACTTCAAAAATCAGAGAGGTAAACAAAGCTATCCCACAAACCACGCTCTCAAACAAACGTTGGTAGACTGCGTTTGAAGAGATTTAATTTGTTGTGATCTCCTTCTTCATCAGAGAAGGCCTTACGCTAGATTTTGAAAAAAAAAATCTAATTGTAATTAATCATTTAACGCCCCCATTGACACAAATTAGATAATTCAGAAAGCAGGCATCGCCCCTGCCTGTCAGGGCCAACCCGGATTGAGAGGAATACATCAACCCAGCAGAAAGCCCGATATACTCCATAAAACTTTTTTCCACATGAGAATCGAACTCAGTTTTTTCTATGTGAGACTGCGAACAAGCGCCTAATTCACTACACCACAAACGCCAGTTCTGCTATTGGTTAGTCTTTAGTTGTAGTAAGAGTTTTACGGCACTTGCAACACAATAGGTCATATAAGTGCTGAATATGGTGAGTCCGACTACTTCCTGAAACGATCAAAATAAAAATATGGAACAGAATGAATGTGAATAAATCCATGACCAAATAAAAAAACAAGTGATATTACAACTGCTGACGTTTAATCACAGGCGTATATATTTAACTTTAAGGCTAAGGACAGGATATCTGTCTTCCTTCAAAGCAAGGTACCACGTATCCGCCAACTTTTCATTCAACATCATGGCTATCTTTATTCTGATTAAGTCGTTGAAAAAGGTGAAATGGTGTAGGTTTAACGCCCCTATCAACACTATTAGATTATTTAAGAGGCGGGACCTCCAAGTTTAACGTCCATCTCCGACAGGACGAACCAAGTGAGAAATTCGTGTAAAATGCCTTTCCCAAGGACACAATGTCGGACCGAGCTTAGGCTTGAGCCCCCCGAACCTGCAATCTCTCGATTACGAGTCCGGTAGCCTAACCACTAGACCACCGACGCCACTGATTAAATCATTAATTCTATTCACAGCAGATGATGTCAATACGTTGTGTTGTCTTTTCTCCCGTAGACAGCAACGCACAGCTTTCCCTTTAATGAGACAACCATGAATTTATTTATTTCTGGGTTGAGGTTTTTAAAAAAATATATTTTTAAAGTAGATTCTACTTTGCCTGTATGTTTGACGCTAACATTTTGTGTAGAGTGCAAGTTTCTTGTTTACGAACTTTCTGCTATATTACTGCTTATGGACAACACGATACTTGCTCAAATATAATAGTATTATAATTATTGTTGTAGTTACTACCTTCTTCATGATATTTGTTCATGTTCTACTCTTCTGTCCAAAGGCTGGGCCTCCTAACTGCACATATTTGATGGTTTTTTAAAAGAATGCAAGAACAAAACCAAACAAAAACAAAAAACATTTGATGATTAGCCTGTCATAAATTATGGATGTTTTTAAAAAGGGTTGTGTGGAAGTGTGGAAATGTGGATCCAAACTTACTGCACCATCGATCATAATGAGAACGAGATGAGTCACTTGTACGTAATATAATTTGAAATGAACATACGTCGTCTTGTCTTTGATACAAGAAAGATATTAATTTAGTTTAACAAGTGTTTTACGTCGCTCACAACCACAAAAGGTCACATGAGCACGTAGTCAGGGTGTCATGGGCATGGCTAGTCGCTACCTCAAAAATTACAAAGCTCTATCCGATATTTTAAAAAAATGTATTGCGGTTTTGAGTTACTAAGACAATAAGGTCTGAAACCAATAAATGTTCTATCTTCTTCATCATAATCGTAAGATTATTCGGGTTCATTATTAAGATATTCAAAGTAATGCATTTGAAAAAACTTGACATATATTCTAGCTCTAATGTGAAATTCAAAATCTATTACGTCACATTTTTCAAAACTATGCACCGAGCGGATAAAACTATAGGTAGCGTTGTGTTACAAATGCACAAAACAAAACCATTTTAAAATGATGATTTTATGAAACAGATCACCCTGCCTTTGGACGTATTATTACAGCTGGTATAATATTATGTTCAGGGTAGTGAATTCTTTGAAATAAATCATGTTGATTTATAACCCAGTCATCGCAGTGTCTTACTATTTGTTTGATAGTCAGTATAAAGTTGCATTTATATCGAATTTGTGTGTGTACTTATGTGTGTGTGTGTGTGGGTGTGTGTGTGTGTGTCTGTGTGTGTTTGTAAGTGAAAGAGAGAGTGTGTGTTTGGGATGGAGAGAGAGAGAGA